GCAGAACTATGAAAAACATCTGTGGGAAGGAAAGAGGGACAGCATGATCTCAGGTGTATCTACCACTCAAATGACTAGGTACGCATGTGCTTAGCCAGGTATGATGGTATGCATCTGTGATGCCAACAGGCTGATGGTAAAGACAAGAGAATAGTCGTTTTGAGGCTATCCTGAGCTACATAGTGAGCTCAAGTTTTACCTGACTTATATACTGAGATTCTATCTCAAAACAAACAAAATAATTTTTAAGAAGGCAACATGAAGTCCATGATTATAATTATAGAGTGATCTCCAGGATATATTGTGAATACACAACACAAGGTGAAGAAATGAGGCCAGGGTTATCTGCCTAATATTTTCCTCAGTTACATGCGGCACATGGAGGTTAATAAATTATATAACCCTATTTAAAATAAATAAAGTCAGCTTTAACAAACAAAATTTAACCATAATTATAAGTGTCACCTTCAGCACTGCTCAGATTTCCAGTGGCCAACAGCCACAGACAGCTAGAGCTTCCTGGGCTGGGCAGTGCAGATGCAGAGCATTTTCATCAATTCAGAAAGGTGCATTGGGAACAGAGAGTGCACACCTTTATTGTGAGTGGGAGAATTGATAAAATATGTATGCTTGTGCTTTGAAACACTGGATAGTTGAGCGCCCCCCAAGAAAAGAAAATGATCTCCTATAGAGTGCCCTGGAAGAAACCAGGACAGAGGCTGACATTTATGCTCTCGAAGATGCAGAAGTACTCATTCCATGCACTGATTCCAATCAACTACTTATCACCAACTCCATTGCTCAGATTGAGTACACTAAAAACACTGCCCCCTCAAAGATGCCTGGGGAAAATGGCTGATTCCAGATTTGGGGCCAGGAATGCAACAGAAAAGTGCACAGTGACCTATCTCATCAGGAAGAATTTGGAAAAGACTAAAAAGTCCGTGTTAAAATGGAGATCTTCACGTGAGTGCAGCAAGTCAGACTTATCAGGGAGATGTGAAATATTTTCTCTTACAGATTGAATTAAAGACCAGACGTGATAGTAGTAGCCAACCTACTATTTTATAATATATATGAATTTAATTGGAGTTACCTGACGAAAGGGATGATGCTTCTCCCAGAAGCCATGGATTATTAAAAAGCCCAGTGCCAAGTGTGGAACACCCCCTCCAGCTGTTGGTCAGGGCTGTTCCAGTGATCCCCCAAAACAATGCAGGTATTGTTTTGATCTTGATTCCTATTGTCATTGCTCTTGATTCCTATTGCTTAAGACACCACACACGTTGGCCACAGGGTATGGAGAAATCAAGTTGACACTGACCAGAAACCTTCCTTCCTATTACCTAGTTTTCCTATTACCAGAAGATACTACCAGGCTATTGAGTGGAGGAAAGTTGTCAATGTTCTTATTCCTCTGTGAACTACAATAATGGCCAACATGGCAAGATATACCCATGGGTCAACAGTGGCATGAATATCACAGAGGTAACCAAGTAACTTTATGTTTCAATTTAAGGCCCACTCCACAGGAGGAAACACTTGCCTAATACTATAAATGTCATCATGATCCCATGGTTGGCGAGTTCAGAGGTCCCAGAGGTGAAACTACAACCACCACCACCACCACCACCACTACCACCACCACCACCACAACTAACACCATCACCACCACTAACACCACCACCACCACCACCACCATCACCACCACCACCATTACCACTAACACCACCACCATTACCAACACCACCATTACCACCACCACCATCACCACCACCACCATTACCACCACCATCACTACCACCACAACCACCACCACCATCATCACCACCACCACCACTAACACCACCACCAAAATCACCACCACCACCACCACTAACACCACCACCAAAATTACCAACACCACCACCACTAACACTACCACCATTACCACCACCACCACCATTACCACCACCATCACCACCACCACCACCACCACCACCATCATCACCACCATCACCACCATCACCACCACCACCACAATCATCACCACCATCACCACCACCACCACCACCACCACCACCACCACCACCACCATCACCACCAGCACCACCACCACCATCACCACCACCATCACCACCATCACCACCACCACCATCATCACCACCATCACCACCACCACCACCACCACCACCACCACCATCACCACCACCACCACCACCATCACCACCATCACCACCACCATCACCACCACCACCAATACCACCACCACTATCACTACTACTACCTTTACCACTAGTGCCATTACTACTACTCCTCTGGGAGGTGAACATTGTATGACACTTCCAGGTGTCACTAAGGTGAGCAAGTATTGCTGCAGAGATGAGAGAAGCTTCTTCATCAACTGATGTGTGTCATTAAATCACCAAGTTTCACGATAAGGGTCATTGGGTTTCCAAACCATCCAGGGAATGTCTCAAAAACACAAGAAACAACTGATATCAGAAAACAGCACCACTATGTGGACATGGAGCCAGAAAAGCCCAGGAATTTTTGCCCCGCCTCTTCCCCATAAGCCCCATGCACAGTCACTGCCCTGCCAACAGCAGCCATGGCCAAATGTTCCACTCTCTACACACTGCAGCTGCATGGCTCCCGTTGACCATAATGGCTGTTCCAACCCACTCTCGCAACAGTTTCTACTCAGTTCATTCTACACACAATAACATAACAACAACAAGAGTGAAATTGTGACTCTCTCCAAATCTTCCTTTCATAGTCATAATACAACTGAAAGACTATGAGAGTCATCTACCTTTTCCACCTCACACCGACATGACTACACTGTCCGCCAGCCTCTAGGCTTGTCCTCTGCTCGTAGACCAAATGAGGTCCATGTGGACAAGCCCACCAACAAGGCTTGTATATCCCTTCTTCTTCTTGTCAATCAGGACTCGAGTCAAATGCTACCTGATGAAACCGACTTTGGGGGAAACCCCACCTACAACAATCCCCATCACAGCCATTTTATGTCCACCTTGAGTTCTTTAAAGCACAAATAACATATGGAGTTGCTGCAATTACTGCTATCCTCTACTTACTGACAATTTAGCCATCTAACTCTGCTAGTCTTCTCAGTGCAGGAACCCGGTGCTCACAAAAGAGGCCACTATGTGAATATCTGGATAAACATACATGAAGGAATTGATTTATCTATTTGCTATGCCATGTAACACACTGGTATTTATGGGATTAACAAGAGGACATTGTATGGAATTAAGCAGTCTGTGATCCATATCCTGAAAGACAGAATGTAAAACCCACTAGCAATACTTTTTTTTAAATTTTTTAATTTATTTATTTATTAAAGATTTCTGTCTCTTCCCCGCCACCGCCTCCCATATCCCTCCCCCTCCCCCAATTAAGTCCCCCCCTCAGCCCGAAAAGCAATCAGGGTTCCCTGTCCTGTGGGAAGTCCAAGGAACCCCACCTCCATCCAGGTCTAGTAAGTTGAGCATCCAAACTGCCTAGGCTCCCACAAAGTCAGCGTGTGCAGTAGGATCAGAAACCCATTGCCATTGTTCTTGAGTTCTCAGTAGTCCTCATTGTCTGCTATGTTCAGAGAGTCCGGTTTTATCCCAGGCTTTTCCAGACCCAGGCCAGCTGGCCTTGGTGAGTTCTCAGTAGAACATCCCCTTTGTCTCAGTGTATGGGTGCACCCCTTGCGGTCCTGAGTTCCTTGCTCGTGCTCTCTCTCCTTCTGCTCCTGATTTGGACCTTGAGATTTATGTCCGGTGCTCCAATGTGGGTCTCTGTCTCTGTCTCCTTTCATCGCCTGCTGAAGGTTAATATTCAGGAGGATGCCTATATGTTTTTCTTTGGGTTCTCCTTATTTAGCTTCTCTAGTATCACTCATTATAGGCTCAATGTCCTTGGTTTAAGGCTAGAAACCAAATATGAGTGAGTACATCCCATGTTCCTCTTTTTGGGTCTGGCTTACCCCACTCAGGATAGTGTTTTCTATTTCCATCCATTTGTATGCAAAATTCAAGAAGTCCTTGGTTCTTACTGCTGAGTAGTACTCTAATATGTATATATTCCATACTTTCTTCATCCATTCTTCCATTGAAGGGCATCTAGGTTGTTTCCAGGTTCTGGCTATCACAAACAATGCTGCTATGAACATCGTAGAGCATATACTTTTGTTGTATGATAAGGCCTCTCTTGGGTATATTCCCAAGAGTGGTATTGCTGGGTCCAGGGGTAAGTTGATCCCGAATTTCCTGAGAAACCGAAACACTGACTTCCATAGTGGTTGCACAAGTTTGCATTCCCACCAGCAATGGATGAGTGTACCCCTTTCTCCACAACCTCTCCAACAAAGGCTATCATTGGTGTTTTTTATTTTAGCCATTCTGACAGGTATAAGATGGTATCTTAAAGTTGTCTTGATTTGCATTTCCCTGATCACTAAGGAAGTTGAGCATGACCTTAAGTGTCTTTTGGCCATTTGAAGTTCTTCTGTTGAGAATTCTCTGTTCAGCTCAATGCCCCATTTTATAATTGGGTTGGTTAGCCTTTTACGGTCTAGTTTCTTGAGATCTTTATATATTTTGGAGATCAGACCTTTGTCAGTTGCGGGGTTGGTGAAGATCTTCTCCCAGTTAGTGGGTTGCCTTTGTGTCTTAGCGACAGTGTCCTTTGCTTTACAGAAGCTTCTCAGTCTGGACAGCCATCAGAAAGAAGTGGCTATGCCACACCCCACTTCTCAGGTATTGATTCAGTGTCTGTTGTGGACCCAGATATCTAACATTTTAATAAGCATGATTTAGTGTCTGTCGTGGACACAGATATCTACCATTTTAATAAGCACTCCCTGCAAATGTGATGCAGTAATGCATGGCCCTTTCGGGGAAATGGTCTGATGGGGATGGCGTCCATTTCAGTCCTGGTCATTTAAAGGAACCCATGCAGACTTCTGTCATCTGGGGAGTCTATGAATGTCATTGTTCCACAGTGTGCTGCTCTTGCTGCTACCTGCTCAACAGGATGTGTTCCTACAAGGCATCACAGACCAGCTGCTGGTCACACGGATGGGAAGAGAAAAGGAAATGACTGACCTGGTGAGTCCCACATGATCTTGTCACTGTTGCTCAGGTAACAGGCTGAACAGACCACACCACTTTTGGTTCTTCTCCAGGAGTTGGTTCTGCATGGAAAGTTCACTGTTTTCTCCCCTGTTCTACTAGAAGGCAGAGAAGGAGTAGAGAAAGCTCATGGAGAGGGGAGGAAGGCAGATGAGAACGCTCATGCACTCTACTGTACTGAATATAGGGATGGAGTAGTCTGTCTGCATCCAGTCAAGTCAAAGATGTGCAGTGACATCTTCCTCTTCTTTGTTCATCTCACAGACCCTTCCTATACAGACACACACACACACACACACACACACACACACACACAAACACACACACACACACACTCACACACTGGTGGCACTGATGACTCACATACTGGAAACAAGGGCTCATGTCAGCTTCTTGTCAACCTTCTGTGTGTACTCTCTACAGTCTTGTTGTTCTTCTCATAGAAGAGACCTGACATTGACAACCTTGAAAAGGAACAAACTTGGAGGATGAACACCTGACTCCCAAACTCCTTATAAACATAGAGAAATGAAGACAGTGTGCCTCATTGGTAATTACAAGAAGACAGAAAAGAATATGAAGGGGACAGAAGAGTCACACATGTGTAGGGGACACCTTTAGCAAAGACACAAAGACACTTCAGTGAAGCAGGCGTATGCTGGTCACCGAGTTTTTCTGGGATTGTAGGTGGTTATAGGAGGTACAGCCCAGCATCGTGATCAGCTGCCTAAGGATAACCCTGTTCCTTTGATGACCATGACCTTGGTAAAGCTGGATCTATGATTAGGCTGCAGAAAAGAATTTCAGGAAAAGCCAGAATGAAGCAAAGCTTGTGAGCTTATTCATGCTATGGAAGAAGCTCACATAGTATAGGGATGGCTCAGGAATGAAGGCCTGAGTGAGGACTAGAGAGACTTGAGATTAGGGTGTGTGAGGAGGGCAGGAGAGTGAGAAATGTGAAGATTTTTATGGTTCTCAGAGTTACATTGTTACATTATTACATTGTTTTAAAATTTCATGCTTTGAGTCTTTGAAATGGTTCTGTTTTTCCACTTGAAGAAAATATACAATAGGTTATTAAAAGTAAAAAATAAAAATGCTTTTAAATGTTCTTATCCCTTTTAAAAAACTTTTAGTAAATTAAATTGTAAGGTGAATATGTGATTCTGCCAACATTCTGGTCCTAAGTAAGCATAATTAATTAATTTTTTAATGTTTTTCACAAGGAAGTCTGTGCACCATCTGAGTGAATACCTATTGCTCACAGAGGGCACCAGAGTTTGAAATCTCTCAAACTGGAGTACAGACAGTTGTGAATCATCAGGTAGGTGCTGGGTATCAACCCTGGATCCTCTGGAAGACATCCAGTGATATTAAAGAATGACCCCTATCTTCGGACCCTAGTTTATTTGTTGTTATTTTTAAACTTTCTTTGAGATGTCTTTAGTACTACTTGCATTATATCTGTGGGTAATTTTGACTCTATCATTTGGGTGGAGGCTTCTTGAATGTCAGTTAGAAAAATGTAAAAATGATCACAGGGCCGGGCAGTGTTGGCTCACGCCTTTAATACCAACACTTGGCAGGCAGAGGCTGGCGGATGTCTGTGAGTTCGAGGCCAGCCTGGTCTACAAGAGCTAGTTCCAGAACAGGAACTAAAAAGCTATGAAGAAACCCTGTCTCGAAAATCAAAAAAAAAAAAAAAATGATCACAGGGTGAGGGGCTGTGTATTCCCCTCTCATATCCCCTTCAATGCCCTGTTTTTCTGTCTTATTATGGGACAAGTGGACATCCTCATGGACAAATATAAATATAGACAAGTTGTTTATCACTGGATACAAAAGTCAACCAAAATTAACAAATGATCTACATAGGACTAGAGAGACATCTCTGAGGTTAAGAGTGCCTTTGGCTATTGCAGAGGACCTGACTTCAGCTTACAGTCCCCATATGGTGGCCCAGAGATACCTATAACTCCAGATCCAGGGGAGCTGACAGTCTTTTCTGGTCTCAGCAAGCATCTGCATTCAAATGTGCATACGGCACACACAAACATATAGGCAGATACCCAGTAAATAGTGAAAGCAAATCTAAAAGGTAATTAATCCAAAATACAACCTAAGCATGAATCTTGTAACAGAAAGCAATTGATAGAATTATAGATAAAATTCATAGATATAACAAACCCCTTTTATGAAAAGAACTGGACTGTTAGGACTTCCATAAAGTGAAAAATGTAAACTGTGATATAAAAGTTATTTTCCCTGCCTGGGAAAAAATGAATGTAGGAAATTGTGTATTAGATGACAGCCTTATTGTTTCCAGAATACAGAAAGCCTAAAAAAGAGTCACTAAGAAAATACACAATTCATGAAATAAAAGTTGTCCAGAAGGGTGAGTAGATGCTCCACTAAGAGAAACATACAGCATCAACATCCTTAACACTTAGGGAAGAGAGACAGGTGACTCTAGGGGACTCTTGACACCCCCACAAAATATACAGAAATAATAATATGAAGACCTGGCAAGGTTGTGGGGGATGAAACTATCATACTGACTGCTGGTAGCCATGGGAAATAGGACAATAACTTGGAAAAATATTTCTCAGTTTCTTGATATGTTAATTGTCATTTGACCAAAGCTGTAACAACTTTCCTGATGGAGCAGAGCTGTTACTTTGAGGAAAGCTTTCCCTGAAGCAGATCTGTAAGCTGCTAAGCTTATACTGACTTTGTGGTATTCCTTGCATCTGGACGGCCAGGATCCCTTTACATTTGAGCTGAAATGTTTACACTACACATATATGTTTTTAATTGTACTCATTGTCTGGCAGAAAGACATCTCCACTCTGCCTTATGGCATCCAGGTCCAGAAGGTGCTAGCCAATCACAGACCAGCCAGAGTCCTCAAAGCCTGGTCTGGCTGGTAGACAACCAGAGGCCTGCCCAGAGCTACAAGGCTTCCATTACAATGAGCAAAATGTGTGGTGGAGAAACAGGAGAGAAAGAGTAGCGGGATAGTTCATGTGCTGTGAAAAGAGGGGGAATAGAAGGTGGTAAGGAAAAGGCTGAGGGGGTGGTCTTCTTGTCATTCATGGTCATGGTGTCAACAGGACCGAGGTTGCTACCAAAGGTCATTTCTGGGTCTCTGGTCTTATTGCAGCTCGGGTCTATGTTAACATCCATGGTCCATGCTGCCACCAAAGGGCACACAGGAGCCTGGAGTCTGGGCTGTGTCCTCTGGCCTTGTTGGGATCTGAGCGCTGTGTTGCCATTGGAGTGACAATGATCTGAGAGACCCGAGCTGCCAACCTGGTGTTGTGCATGCCTGAGCTGCTGACCAGGGCCATATCTGTGACCCAGCAGTAGCCAGGGTCTTTGTCTTCCTGATTCCTGTTACCAATGAAGGCCATGCGGATGCCTGAAGTGTGGGTCACCACATGAGGCCACGTTGGTGTCCAAAGGCTTTGCTGCAGCTGGTGCCATCCTGATCTGTGTGGTCTGTGAAACCACCCGGGAAATGGTGACATCAAGGACGAGTTGCTGCCAGGATCATGTTGGGTCTATGGTCCTACCAGAGCTAGGGTATGTGCTGATGTTTGTGGCCCATGTTACTACAGGGGGCCTTAAGAGCCATGAATGATGATATCCAAGGGCCAGAGTGAGCTGGTTCTGCCCTTTGGTGGACATTGTGTCAAGAGCTGGCCCTGACTTTCACAGGAGAGTTAGTCCCACACCTCACCATGGGCATTGGAAAACTGGGCCTGGTGCCATGGGCATAGGTGAGCTGGCTTCGGCCCTATCCTTAGGCAGGCAGCTGATCAGCTCAGCTACCACCCAGGTCCATATTGGGGTTCTTGGCTTGGCCCATCCTAACATCTACACCATCTAAGGCCAACTGGAATGCTGGAATTGACTGGTCCTGGGGAACAATACCTGCAGAATCTCTGTTACTTGGGGTGACTGCAGGATATCCTAGAGGAGTTTTGTTGAGGGTCCCATGATGATAGTGTACCAGAAACTAGAGGCCATGAACAAGTTCAATGACTCATTGCAATGAAAGTTTACAAGTAAATATGTTGGACAAAAAGGTATACTGTGTGACTCACCTTATATGTAGATCGTATTAAAGTGTAATAGAAGCCCGAGTACTGCTTCTGATGACTTCAGTTGGATCCCAAGGACCCACATTGTGGAAGCAGAGAAATGACTCCTGCAAGTTGTCCTCTGACCTCTACAAGTACACTGTAGATCATGTATGGCCTTGCCAGACACACAAAATAGGCAGACAAATAAATGTAAAAAATGTAAATGGACATAACTTACCAAACACAAAACAAAAGCCAAAAATAACCGATGTTCTTATTGCTGACTGAAATAGACTCTAAAATGATTGCTTTTTTCAAGACATATATCTGAAACAAAGGCATTAAAATGTTATCTTGAACACGTAAAAAGAAGTAAACACATACCATCCAGGAACGAATTATTAGAAATCTAGAGTTATAATCTTAACGTTTAAGAAAGAACTAAAACTAAAGTGGAATAAAACAATTTTAAAACATGCAGTAATGTTATGTGTAAAATTCATTAGGAGAATGCTAATCTTTCATACTTATATTTCAGTCACAAAGCAAAATATGGATTGAAGGAAAATTACAAGAAAGTATAAAAGCCGATTAATAATTGCAGATGAATGCAAAGTAGTTTTCTCAATGTGACCACAATCATAGGAAAATAATTTATTAAATGAGAGGCCCTGCATAACCTAACCTCAAAGGCATATGCCCTGGGAAGACATATGGAACTCTTAAGTCTGATATAATCTTTTTTTGTTGAAAGCATGGATTATTCCGTGATGGGAACTTCATTTGATGTGTAATGCAGTTTCTCCCCCTTTCCTTATCAGCATTTACAGGTTATTATTGACAGTCAGAAACAAATGAGAGAAATGTCCCAGAGACAAGTCCATGGCCATCGCCACAGATATCACACGCAAAAGACATACATAATTTTGTAGCTCTCACTATCCTGTGTGTGGTCAGAGATGAATGTGTTTTAACGTGGTTGTACCCCTTGAGCTCTTATAATTGTTGTTGTTATTATTTTTATTGTTATTATTTTTCCTTTGATTGAAAATAGATTGTTTTCTCATGCAACAAATGTCCCAAGAATCCTATCAAAGCACTAAACTCAACCTGGAATCCAGTATGCTCAAAGGACCTGATGCAGACCCTTTGCAGAGACTCTGAACGTTGGCGCGGTTCCTCTGACTTCACAAGGGCTTTGATGAAGCTGTTACCAGGTGTGGGGATGTAGCTCAGAGGTAGAGCACATGTTTCACATATATGAGGCCCCGAGTTTGAGCCCCGGCATCTCCAAAACAATACTTTTAACCTTTGATTTTCTTTTTTCAGGATGTTTCTGTACAAGGTGTCCCAAAATTTAAAGTCCCGTGATGAGGTTATATATGCATAGCTAATTATTGGATAAAATTGCTCATTTGTCACCGTGACAGCAATGTTCATCTTTGTGACGACATTTCCATAGATACCACCATGGTCTGGTGAGTACAATGTGGTCGGGCTTTTAGGGATATGCTTTGTTCACAGAGCGGAAAAAAAAAGAAAAGCTCTGCATTCGTAGTGGGGACAGTTTCTCTAATGGGTATGCTTTCTTGGGTGAAAACAAGGGTGAAGAGTTCTTCCTTTGAGAGGAAGTAAGGGAGGGCTGGGCGGAGCCATTCCTGGTTACTAAGGGGGAGGCAGCATTGCGGTTGTCATAGAAACCGGGGTCATTATGGCGACTCTTTTCAAATGGCGACCTGACGATGTCCTGGAAAGGAGCATTCAGTTCCTGGTGTTTGGACTGAGTTGAGCTTATGGATTCCCGGAGGTGAGCACCAGAATCTTTCTGAGGGTTGGGAGGCAGATGCAGGGATTCCAGACCCAAGTAGGACCACTCCTACCTTGGGGTTTGCAGCCTGTGTTTCTCCGGAAGGAGAGAGACTTGGGACCATTCTGCCTCCTCCTGTGCTGTTATGTACAGGGCTGTGCTGGAGCCATTGTCCAGGAGGGGAGTTGTCGGAGAGTGAGCAGGAGGGAGATGAGGCCAAATGAGCACTCTGTGATCCCGACTTCCCACTCTGTGCGTGAGATTGCTCGCTGACATTTGAGGTTTTCCGTATGTTTCATAGAAATGTTAGAAATGTTTTATCAGATATATGTATTTCTAACTTTTCTCCTAGCCTCAGACTTATCATCTCAATTCTCATCCATGTCTTTGGAAGAGCGGGAGATTTTAAATTGTAAGATCCCACCTTCTCTAGTTCTTCAATTACGGTTTTTATTCGGTGTCTTGTCTGCGAAATCTTTGCCTGGCACTCAGTGACAGGGATTTTCTTCTTGTGTTCTGTTTGACATTTATAGGCTGATTTTTATATTTTTACATCCGTAATTTATTTTGAATGGTCTTCACATATGATACGATGTAGGTCCTAGTTTATATTTGTGGGTATGGATATACACTTGCCTCAGTATTGCTTCCTGAAAGGCCATCTTTATGCATCAAATTGCCTTGTTTATTTGTGAAACATCAGTTCTCCAATTATCCAATCATGGTACATATGCCAGTAATCCCAGTGCCTGGGAGGCTGCAGCAGGAGTATGGTCAGTTCTTCTCAGCACACACTACACGCACTACACACAAGCTTGATGCCAGCATCAGGTACAGGAAAAATGTTGACTCGATATAGGCAGTGGTCTGTAAATGTGTGGATGTGAGCGTGGAATGTTGGTTTTGGACTTTTTCTTGCCAACTTTGATTCAATAGCATGCTGGTCCAATTACTGTAGGTTCAAACAGAGGTCTCCTATCAGGCAATGCTGTTCTCTAACATTTGTCTGTTTCTAAGGTTTACACAAGCTATATATTTAGTCTACAATGTTTAGAGTTATCCACTCAATTTTTAAAAAGAATAAGTGCTATTTTGTTGTTAGTGCATCCAATCTGTAGCTCAGTTTTGAATCAACAGACATCTTACTAATAATGAATTGTTTGAGCTGCGAACATAGTTGTCCTTCATTAAGACAGGTTGTCTCCAATTCAGCAATGTTTGGAAATCTCTCGGCCTATCAGCACTATGGATCTATCTGTCAGGATAATGCACAAATATTTGTACTTTTTGATTCATCTATAACTGGTATTAGTTTTTAAACAAATTTATACATATTGTTTTTTCTGTGAACAAATTATTAAATCTTCTGTAAACTGTCAGGAAACAAGTGTCAATGAAACTTACAAAGGATATTTTTTGTTGAAAGCATGGATTATCCCATGATGAAAACGTTATTTGATGTGTAATGCAGTTTGTCGTTAAATTCTTATCGGCATTTACAGGTTATTATTGACAGTCTGAAACAAATGAGAGAAATGTCCCAGAGACAAATCCATGGCCATCGTCACAGGAATCTCATTCAGACCACATAATTTAGTAGCTCTCACCATCCTGTGTGTGGTCAGAGATGAGTCTGTTGTAACGTGATTGTACCCCTTGAGCTCTCAGTAAATACCAGGAAGCTAGGAGAGTGAGAATGAGAGGTGTCTGTGTGTGTGTGTACAGGAATTCCTTGGCAGAGGCTGGTCTGCAAAGCCTGGTTGATTGACTCTTAGACCTGCAGTGATATGGAGATGGTGGAAGTCGCAGTCCCAGGGCCTAATTACAATTTCCTTTGTGTTCTTTTGAGCCCATGAGTAGCCACTCCTTGGGCCCCCTGTGCTGGACTTACTTAACACCTTGTCATTAACAGATGACGTTGGACCTGACATTTAAAATATCAGAATATGTCTCCTTATCAAAGCTTTAAGTTTCTACCAGTCAAAGGACTGCTTTTCATCACATAGCAGCTAGTGCCTGTAGCTGAGGTTTCTCTGCTTTACCATAACAGTCTACTTAATATTATCACCCATGTACTTAAGGAGAGTCTATAGTTTCTTCATTCTGTGATTATAAATACTTCATGAAACTGTTTCCACATTGTGACATGTAATTTGTACTAACATAAACCTGTCTCACTCATGTTTACTCACAGATATTTGACTCCAGAATGAACTCTCTTCTTCCTTCGAGGTGAGAGCTGTGTGTTTACATTGACATTTGTTAGTGTGTGTTGTGTATATACTCATGCTTGTGCAAATATGTCCCTGGATATATATGTGTGAAAGTTAGTTAATCACTTACTGCTGTGATAGGCTATGTGTTATAATTCTCCTGGTCCTCTTCAATGATGACCTGGTGTGTAGTATACTGCTTACTTATCTCCATAGTTCTTTACTCATGTGCTGACCGATATCAGTATGGCTCAACACCCATTTTCCCAAACTGTTTTCCTCTATTGCTGTTCTCTATTTCCATGCTCCATTTGTCCCAGTATGGCTAGAGGAATCCTTTAAAGATGGCATCTGTGTTCATCTGGTGCCTCTGGAGAGGAGATGGAAAGTCTAGGAAATCCATCCATTCCAGTGTCAGGGGATTCAAGGTGACCATCACATTCATATTCTCTACAGAGCACCACTCTGTATCCCTTGTGCACTGCCCACTTTACACTCAGGGAGGATGAAGTGAGTTGTGGAGCACTACAGTTGCTGCAATCCATAAATGGAACTGCTCTAGTATTGTATCAAGTTTCCAAACACACTGAAAACGCATTGCTATTCCATAAAACATCAGCCCCTTTAAAGAAAATAAATGTAGGCATGTAGTTTGAATGCCACCTCCTGGCCATAATGGGGACTACATCAGTGAGAGTCTTGGGCCCAGTGGCGTCTATGTTTGGGTGGGAGGGAACATTGGCTGTGACCTGGACTTGAAGGGAACTTACCTCTGGAGATAAAGCAGTGTTTTTTCACTTCAGTATATTTTCCTGGTACATAAACCTTGACATCTTAGGTATATCAAATGTAAACCAGAGATTGGAGACCAATCCCAGTCTAAGGCTAACATAAAGCAGCCTCATTAGATAGAGATGGTGGAGCTCTGTGTGCAAACACACACACACATATGCACACAGGCATGCACAGAGCATGAGAGTAGATTCCATTTGTCCTTCTACTTCATTGCCCAGAAATGGAACACAATGACTACTTCTAAAGTACAGAAGGTATAAACATCGTTTATCCAGTGTGTGGTTGTGTGCCCGTGTGCATATGTGTGTGCTTCTGCAATTGTATGCATACATGCATGTGGTCAGGGGACAGAAGGCAGCCTCCGGTGTTGTACCTCAGGCGCCATCCCCCTGAAGTTTTTCTTAGACAAGGTTTCTCACTGGCCTGGAACACGCAAGGCAGGCTGGGTTGGCTGGGCAGCACACTCCAGGGATAGGCTTGCCTCCACCTTCACACACAAGCAAGTCCCACCACACCTACTACTTTTCCTGCTGTAGTTTAACTTCATTTTCTTGATGATGCTCTCTGTGAATGACACTCAGGGCCTCATGCCCACAAGGCCAGCAATTTATTGATTTAGCTGTCTCCCCAGCCCCACTTTTACCACCCGAGCACAAGCATTTTTCTCAGTTTACACTTTAAAGTACTTTACTTCCTGGATACGAAATTTGAAACACCACCGGAAAGCACATGTACTACCATAAGGAAATCTGTGTCTGTCGCCGGGCTTATTCCTACCCCTAAGGCACAGGGCTGTCTGCAGGGAAATCTCCAGAGAGTGAGCTATCTGAGTAGAGTGCCAGCCGCCATTTTCTGTGCGCCTTGCTGTATGTGGTGGTGAGGAAGTCACTTCCCCATTTAGGGGATGGTAATCTTTAATGTGTCTGCCACGGACACACAGGGCTCTGCCTAACATCCAGTGAAAAGAGGATGGTTTCCCATGACAGAACTAAGCTGAAACTTTCCCACAGTGAATGGAACGATAATAGTCCTGCTAATTATTTTGTGTGTTTAGTGCAGAGTCTCAGAGCAGCCCAGCCCAGCCTGGGACTCTTCCCCTTCCTCCCTCAGCCTTCAGAGTGCTGCTGGTCCTCCCAGCTTACCACACTGCCCCAGCTCAAGTATTCATTTTAATGTAAACACATTCTTAATGCTACTGTTTTCTTCTCGGCCCAGTAACATTTTCATTCCATTTCTACATGTATATTGTTGAATTCCCACGAAATAAGTAATTTTATCATTGATTTCCCTGCAAAAATTTATTTTATAATGATCCACATCTCTTGAAAAACCATGTACTCTAAGATTGTTTTCCTAAGAAATTTCACATTTTCTGAGATATTTCTGGTTTTTGTTTGGTTTTCATTTTGAGGCAGGGCCTCTCTGTGCTATTAAGGCTGTTCTGAAACTTCTTAGCAGTAATGATCGTGTAACCCCAGTGTTCAAATAGCTGAAAGTGCACGCATTTGCCACCTAACGCTGATGAAAACTGTTCTCATTACTGCCTGGCATTTGACCATTTTTCTTCATTGTTTCACAACAATTATTTTAATTTGTACATAATTTTAAAATATACATAACTTAATAATAATTACGTTGTGTATATTCCTATGTGTATGTACACATGAATTCCGGCGCCTCCAAAGGTCAGGAGAGGTCATACCTTCCTGGAGCTGAGGTATGGTCCTTCAAGGATGTTGGAAATGGATGCTGGAAACTACCTTGGATCCTCAGCAACAATAGAATGCACTCTGAACCACTGAGTCATCTCCCCTGCCAGACTGTAGACTGTTAGATTCCGTTAGCCTTTATAATGTTCATATTTTAAATTCCACTGTGTTTTCCCCTTGGTCAATGACCTGGAGTTGATGCTTCTTTTTTTTTCTTGTTTAGATTTTAGTTATACTTTTAATTATGTCTGTCTGTCTGTCTGTGGTATGCACATGATTGGCAGAGGCATTGACTCCTGATGGGGCTAGAGTTAAAGGCAGTTGTGAGCTATCTGCCATGGGGGCTGGGAGCCATACTCTCATAAACAGTAATGACTCTCTTGTCTCTTTCCTCCTCCCTCTACGCCTTGAGTGCTGGTATTACAGGTGAGGGTGAACATGCCCAGAGGGTCAAAGAACACAGAGCAATTTCCATTCTAGGCAATCATTCTGCCACGAGAGCTATGTCGCCAGTCCCCATACTGTGGCTTTTTAAATTCACCAGTGATTTCTTTTCATGGTATAGCATTCTCATTGAACAGCTACCAGAGAAATCAAGAATATAGCTGGGAATGTGTGCACAGCCAGGGGAGCAATAGCAGTGTCTAGGGACCACTTTTAAAAATCCCCAAATGTGCTCCCACCACATTTGTGAAGAGCTTGGGACAGGGCCGTCAGATGCTGGGCAGATCTAAGTGCTGTAGCATCCTCGAGTCCAGCCTCTGGCAAGGACATCCTGTTCCTGAGAGCATGTCTCCTGCCAGCAAACCTACCTTACATGCCCAGCTTCCCAAAGGTCAGCAACAAGGGACTAGAGGCTGTTGTTGTACTGTCTGTGGATGTGTGTGCACAGCCAATGACCCAGACCCTGCAGAAGAATCACAAAACAGGAAAAAGGTTGGTCAAAGAATCAGACACATCCTTAAGCTCAGTACTGAAGACATAAAAAAAGAAAATTTGGAAATATAGCATAGTGTGTGGAAATAGAAATGACGGAGAAAGAAGAACAGGATTTCCCTTGCACGGAGATGTGAGTGTATGTGTCCTGATGTGGGGCTGTGCCTCCCTAGGAGTATGGGGACAATGATGAAGGGATCCCAGACATATCTGAGAAGCCGGATTCTGCGTTTGGATGTCTGTACAGCAATGGTTCTCAGCCTTCCTATGCTGTGACGTGACTCTTAATACAGTCCCTCATGCGTGGTGATCCCAACCAGAAAATTATTTCTGTTGCTTCATCATCGCTGTAAAGTTGTTACAGGTAAGAATCACAATGGAAATAGTTTTGGAGATAGACGTTTGCTGAAGGGGTCAAGTCACAGGTTGAACCACTTTTCTAGAGTCAGAGAGATGTGGGACCTTCCTAGCCCCAGCAACTTTGGTTCCCTGAGCCAGGATGTCCTGGACCCATTCTCCAAACACAGGCTGGGAATTTCTGTGAGGAGAAAACAGAGTGAGACCCTCTGCTCTGAGCTGTGCTTCCCACTCTGTGAATTGAGAGCATCACACTGCTCATGTGCTAATTTGGGGGTCTTTAGTGATAATACCTGCTTTAAATACCAGTCACAAGTTCCTGCATATGTGACAGACTAATGTTGATATATGCAATTGGAATTACAGGCTGGCCTTGAACTCAGACATCCAACTGCCTCTGTCTTGTGAATGTTTGCTCCATTCCCTGCTGTCAAAAATAAGCATTTCTAAAGGCAGTCTTCTTCTGGAGAAATAGGGACAAACAGTTGCTGCAGAATTTAGAGACTGATTTCACTTCAACTCTGCCTAAAACCTACTCACTTCCTTCATCTGTAAACCTGCCAAGAGCAGTACATGCTGTAGAACAGCCATTTTCAAAAATACACTGAATTTTGGGTTCACTTTTTAAGAGACAAATGTTAGATTCTTATTCTGTTGGAAATTATGCTACAGTTAGCTGTACTTAGAAAACTTTACATCTGAAAATTATTCATCAGCAACTCGTTATCAAATTGTTAAGTTTTACAATGACTAGTTTGGGTATTCAAACTATCCTGTGTCAATACACGTGGAATAACTGATGTCAGTAAATGGAAGCACCGTGTCTCCATGTGGTCAGACAAATCCAGAGATGTTAGAGCAATTTCTCCACAGGGAAAATGCACAGCGCATCCATTGCTATCGGCCCTCTCCCAGACAAGGCTGCACAGGGCAGCTCTCCTGCTGATCACTGCAGCATGGCTTCATCCCTCTTTCATACCTCCATCCCTCCCCTGTCTTCGGAACCATCTCCACTGTCTCCACACACTACCTCATCCCGCCCTCCCCAGGCCTTTCTCTGTGCAGTGCCAAGTCACCTTCTACCAAAAGGAAACATATCATGACAATTTCATAACTCACCTTCCACACAGATCATATAATCCAAATGTCGTACACAGCTGACAATGACAACATTTTCCTTTCTGTCCTATCCCCAAGCAGTGTCCACGTTGTCTTCAAGGTTCTGGCAACTAGCCTTGTTCTCTGCTCTTAGATCCACTGTTCTCCATGGAAGCAAGCACGCCCACAACTTGGTTTGTGCATGGTCTTGCTTCTATTTGCCATTCAGGACTCAGATCACATGCTAACTTCTGAAACCTTTGGGGGTAACATCACATACGACAATCCCCATCACAACTATTTCCTGTCCCCTTTATGATCTTTAAAGCGCCAATAATACACGGAATTGCTGTGATTACTGATTTCTTCTGCTTACTGACAGTTTACCTATCTAACACGATATACAAGGACCCGTGCTAGTCTTCACAGTGCAGGAACAAGGTGTTCACTAAAGAGGCCACTATGTGAATATCTGGATAAACGTACACGAAGGAATTGATTTGTCTATTTGATATGCCATGCAACACAGTGGTATTTAAGTCAGTAACAAGAGAACATGGTATGGACTTAAGCAGTCTGTGACTTCATATCCTGGAAGACAGAATATCAAACACACTAGCAATACGTTTTAACATGGACAGCCATCAGAAAGAAGTGGCTATGCCACACTCACTTCCTAGGGTTTGAATCAGTGTCTGCTGTGGACCCAGATATCTACCATTTTAATAAGCATGATTCAGTGTCTGTTGTGGATCCAGATTTCTACCATCTTAATAAGCAATCCCTCCAAATGTGATGCAGTCATGCATGGCCCATTCGGGGAAATGGTCTGATGGGGATTGCTTCCATTTCAGTCCTGGTCATTTAAAGGGACCCCTACAGGGTTCAGTCATCTGGGGAGTCTATGAATGCCATTGTTTTACAGTGTGCTGCTCTTTGCTGCGAACTGCTCAACAGGATGTGTTCCTACAAGGCATCACAGACCAGCTGCTGGTCACACAGATGGGAAGAGAAAAGGAAATGACTGACCTGGTGAGTCCCACATGATCTTGTCACTCTACTGTACTGAATATAAGGATGGAGTAGTCTGTCTGCATCCAGTCAAGTCAAAGATGTGCAGTGACATCTTCCTCTTCTTTGTTCATTTCACAGACCCTTTATACACACCCATGTACACATCACACACACACACACACACACACACACACACACACACACACTCACATTGGTGGCAATGATGACTCACATACTGGAAACAAGGGCTCATGTCAGCTTCTTGTCAACATTCTGCGTGTTCTCTCTGCAGTCCTGCTGTTCTTCTCATAGAAGAGACCTGACATTGATAGGCAGAGGACACAAAGTATCACTGACAAGAAGCATTTGCTTTTGGCTTTCTTCCCAGGGGTGGTCAGATAATCCAGAATTCTAGACAGATAACAAATGAAGAGCAGGTCCACTTGAATGTACTCCCACGGGCATGTTATGGGATAATTTAAGCATCACAGTATATAATGATGACAAAGGAGTACTCCTTTAAGAAATGGGTGTTTCTGAGTAGACACAAACGCATGAGTAAATCCATTAATAAACAAAAGATAAAAGGGAAACATTACTCAAAGACAAGCAATGCTTGTATACTAGTAACTGCACAGGGAAGTAGGCATCAGAGCAACACTTAGCAGGCGTCATGGTTATAATAAACATGGAAAGAACCATACATAAAACACCCCTCTGTACAAGTCCACAGCAACACTGCTAAAATCTGCATGACTGGATGGGAAAACAAGAGGGAAAACACACGAGTACTAACCTTTTCCTTTTTGTGTTGGGGAAAATAATATTAGATATTTTGAAAATAATTACCTAAGTATTCTTCATAATACAAACCTTTCTGGAGTTACACATACATACCTAACTCTTCACATGTATCCCCTTCTTTCTCTCCACCGTGATCTCAGCACCTCCCTGATGGAGCTAGCTGGGAGGTAAAGGACTATCTCTATGATTCCAAAGATGCCATTGGGGCAAACCTTTGACCTGTGGCTGCCTTAGAAATTTTCCCCCAAACTGGGTGTTGGACATTTGTTTCTGTTCTCATAATTCACTTGCAACTTCAAAGTACTGAATTTTGAACACAGCAAATATATGTTAGCATCAAAGACATTTTCATCATAGAGAATGTAATTAAATATTTTAACCTAAAAGATTCATCAATAACTCTGTCTAAATTTAACACAGACAGCTGACCACAGTGAAATGAATGTGTGGAAGCTGTAATTTAAAATCCCTGTCACTGGAGATAGCATCAGGAAATATGAAATAATTAGGAAAACTCTGCCCACTTCTCTGTAGTGCCTAGACACTGAATGGGACAACTCATTGCTGAGAGTAAAGATGTATAGATTCATCGACTGTGGTGATATTTTGTTTCTTCCATGACAATAAAGCTTGCCTGAGAATCAGTGTGTGCAGATAGCCACTAGTTAGCCACAGAAGACAGGCAGTGTTGGAACTCACCTTTCCCAACACTTAAGAAACAGAACTCTGTTTCTTAACATATTTGGTTTCTCACTCATATTTGGTTTCTAGCCATAAATAAAGGACATTGAGCCTATAATTCATGTTCCTAGAGAAGCTAAATAAGGTGAATCCAAAGACAAACACATAGGCATCCTCAGGAATATTAACCTTCATCAGGCGATGAAAGGAGACAGAGACAGAGACCCACACGGGAGCACCGGACAGAAATCTCAAGGTCCAAATCAGGAGCAGAAGGAGACGGAGCACGAGCAAGGAACTCAGGACCACGAGGGGTGCACCCACACACTAAGACAATGGGGATGTTCTATTGGGATCTCACCAAGGCCAGCTGGCCTAGGTCTGAAAAAGCATGGGATAAATCTGGACTAGCTGAACATAGCGGACAATGAGGAATACTGAGAATTCAAGAACAATTGCAGTGGGTTTTTGATCCTACTGCACGTACTGGCTTTGTGGGAGCCTAGGCAGTTTGAATGCTCACCTTATGAGACCTGGATAGAGGTGGGCAGTCCATGGGCTTCCCACAGGTCAGGGAACCCTGATTGCTCTTCGAGCAGATGAGGGGGGGGGGACTTGTTCGGGGGAGGGGGAGGGAAATGGGAAGCGGTTGTGGGGACGAGGCAGAAATCCTTAATAAATAAATAAATTAAAAAAAAAAAAAGAAACAGAACTCTGTGGGTTAAGGCCATCCTGGGCTACATTAGATTGATCCAGTCTAAAAGAGAAACAGAGTCAGGCAGTGGTGACTCACATCTTTCATCAAAGTGCTTTGGTGTCACACACCTTTAATCCCAGCACGAGGGAGATGGAGAATGAAAGGAATGTGGCTGGAAAAAGAGAGGAATATAAGGTGGGAGGAGATAGGAGATCCAGGCAGTCAGTCTGAGGTCTTGTAGAGACAGGATGCTCCATTTGGTCTGAGGATTTTTTCGGGGAAAGAACTAGTGTCTGGCTGCTCTGCTGTTCTGATCTTATAGCTCCAACTACTTAATATCTGACTCCAGATTTTATTATTAAGACCAATTAGAACTCACGCTACAATCATCTTCATGCAATGGAAGATACAGGTGTCTGTTCTCCTCATATAGTCCTATAGATCCAGTGCAATACCAACAGAACTCTAACAGACTTTTCATAAACTAATGGGCTTATCCTGAAATTCACAGTGAATATGGAGAACCCCAGCTTGAAACAACCTTATAAAGGAACAAACTCGGAGGATGAACACCTGACTTCCAAACTCCTTATAAACCTTTTGGAAATGTAGACAGTGTGCCTGATTGGAAATGACAATAAGACAGAAAAGAATATGAAGGGGACAGAAGAGTCACACATGTGTGAGGGGACACCTTTAGCAAAGACTCAAAGACACTTCAGTGAAGCAGACATTTGTGCTTCACCGAGTTTTTCTGGGACTCCCCATAAGTGGTAGGGAGGTACAGCCCAGCACAGTGACGAGCAGCCTGAGGATAACCCTGTCGCTTTGATGACCTTGACCCTGGTAAAGATGAATCTAGGATGCAGTAAAGAATTTCAGAAACAGCCAGGATGAAGCAAAGGTTGTGAGCTTATTAATCCTGTGGATAGAAGCTCACACAGAATAAGGATGGCTCCTGCATGATGGCCTGAGAGTGGACTGGAGAGAGACTTGAGATTAGGTGTCATTGCAAAGGGTATGTGAGGTGGGCAGGGAGGGAGGTACAGTGGGAGAGGGAGAAATGGGAGGATTTTTATGGCTCTAAAGTTACATTGCTGAAAGAATGTAATTCAGAAAATTTCAAGATTAAATTACATTAAAGCCTATATTCAGGTTTTTAAATTAACTATAAGAATATTTTTACTCTTTAAATGGGTTCTATTTTTCCATTAGGAAAAAAATATTCAATAGGTTATTAAAAAGTAAAACATGAAACTAAAAAGCAATGCTTTTAAATGTGCTTATTCCTTTTAAAGTTTCTTTCAGTAAATTAAATTGTAAGGTGATTATGTGACTTAGGCGATAGAATAGAGTGCTATCATCATCCATCTCAAGGCTACAAGTATTCTGCCCCTAAGAAAGCATAACTGCGTTTTTTATTTTCTGCTTTTGAATGCTTTTCCACAGGGAAGTCTGTGCACCACGTGAGTACCTAATGCCCACAGACAGTACCAGACTTTATGAGATCTCTCGGAACTGGAGTTACAGACAGTTGTGAACCATCGGGTAGGGTTGGGTATCAACCCTGGATCCTCTGGAAGACATCCAGTGATATTAAAGAATGAACCCTATCTTCAGACTCTAGTTTATTTGTTGTTATTTTTAAACATTATTTGGGATGTCTTTAGGAATAGTTGCATCATATCTGCAGGTAATTTTGGCTCTATCAGTTGGCTTGAGGTCTCTTGAATGTCAGGAAAATGTAAAAATGATTACAGGGTGAGGGGCTGTGTGTTCCCTCTCATATCCCCTTCAATGCCCTGTCTTTCTGTCTTATTTTGGGACAAGCAGACCTCCCCATGCACAAATATAAATATAGACAATCGTATATCGCAGGATACAAAAGTCAATCGAGAATGAACAAATGATCTACACAGGACTAGAGAGACATCTCAAAAGTTAAGAGTGCCTTTTGCTATTGCAGAGGACCTGACTTCAGTTTCCAGCACCCAGTTCCAGTCTCTGAGCAACAGTGACAGGAACCCCAATCTTCACCCTTCTTTAGTGAAGAAGGGTTAATATTTTAAATTAAAATGAGTTTTGTGTCCCAAAGATTAAAACAATTGTTTAGTCTGCACCTTAGCTCCAAAGCAAACCAGAATTCAAGCTGCAGAAGCAGTTTAGCATTTGTGCTCCAGGGCAGGTGGGATTTCTGAGTGAGGTGAGCTGGATTCAGCTATCTGGAGCACATCCTGGCACTTATCTCAGCCGGGTCTCCCTGACTCTCTAGAGGCAGTATGACACCCTGCAGAGTGGAGCAGCAGGTTCTGTTATCAGGCACTCCTCTCCTTGGGGGCAGGAAAGGCCAGACCAAGGACCTCTCCCCAGTTGCCTCTGGAAGACCTCTGTGGGGCATCTGCAGCCTCAACATCATCCAGGTCCAGATTTTATTTTCTTTCTGTGAAAAAAGCATAAACATATCATCGACCCCAAATATATATAGGTCGGGTTTTTTCATAATGCATTGTAAGGGCTTTTTCCACCTTGCCCTAGCAAAGGTCAGCTTGGTTTTATCATGTCAGATCCGTTTGCATCAGGATCTGCTTACAACTTTTATGATTTGCTTTGAAGGACCCTTGTTATGCTCCACAATTTTTTTTATTAGCCCTATATGCAGTTCTTCCATTGGAAGAGCCATTTGTAAAATTTAGCATAAAAGGCACGCCCGCAAGGGACCCAAGGAGCTAGTGGCAGCGGGGGAGGCCATGTGGACCAAGGCGCTGAGGGCAGCAGGCCTTGGCGCCCCAGGCCCCCCCCCCTGCCGCCGCCATGGGCATCAGCAATATGCGCCCAGGAACCCGCCTGCGGGGAGGATCAAGGCAGAGGGTTCAAAGGCTGGGGAAGTTCTTGGAAGGCGGCCACTTGGGAGATCTGTTCCTTCTCGAGAGTCTAATCCAGCACTGCCCTTGGGAAGGAGCTCCCCAAGGAACCCCCACAACCTCATGCTGGAGGCAAGAGTGGACATGCTCGGCTCCAGTATGATCATCAATGGCCCGGCTGCAGACCTCGGTGCTAAAGAGGCCAGCAGGCCCTCGAAGAAGCAGCCTGGCAGCGTCCAGAAGCCTGGGCCATCCACCCGAGACCGAGCCCCTCAGCATAAAGGACAAGATATCCAAGTGGGAAGGCAAGAAGGAGCCACCTACTCCTGAGCCTGCCAGGCCAACGGAGGGCCAAGAGAACTACTTGCCACCCTGCGGGGTAGAGCGGAGAGGCAGCGAGGTCACCAGAACAAAGAATGGGTTGAGGCTTGAAACAGAGAGCTTGGAAAATGACAGCAGAAGGACAGCAAAGACCACGTGTCAGGACACAGACCGGTGGCCAGGCCTGAGGCAGAGTGATGGGCAGCCGGAGCCCAGC